AACTCTTCAATGCTTCTCTTTTCTTCCTATTTATCTTCTTCATTAATTACTAATAATTCTCTACTCTATAATAGAGTTTTCTCTTTTACTTTTTTCTTTCTGCTCTTCCAGTTTGTTCTAGTCTTCTTACTTCTTCTTGCTTGAATTAGGAGTTCTCCTGAACTCACTAAAATTTTTTCTAGAAGTTTCTTCCGTAATATCTTTAACTTGTCTTCTGTTTGGTTAGCTTCTTTCTCTTTACTATCTATAATTCTTTTCTCTAATATGTCTTAAAGTTGAAGGTAGCTTCTTGTTAATTCTTCATAAAGATACTTGAGGTTTTCTCTTCTTTCTCTTCTTTAAGATTCTTCTTGTTTCGTTCTTTTTCCTCTAAGACCTGTTATCCACTTCTTGTATTGGTATAATTCCTCCAGATATTCGTCTAAATAATTGTTAGATAAAGCTTCTTTCTTGTTTATAGGATTCTTCACTTCATTCTCCTCTTGGTTTGATTCCACAATATATATATATAATTCATCGATTTGTTAACAAGAATCTTCTATTCTTTTCTTTCTTTGTTGTGATCTCTGTTCTAAACTTTTTTGTTTAAGAGTTTGGATCCATATTTTATCTTGCTCTAATTTCTCTATATACTCTTCTATCTGTATATCAGATATCTCTGTATTTGTTGAAAATTCTAAATTTTCCTTATCTTCTTTTCTATCATTTTGTATTAGAAAGAGTAAATTTTCTTGTCCAAGTTGCTGAATTAAGTTCTCTTCTATGTCTCTTCTTTAAAGTGCTTGTTGCTCTTCTTTTTTTTTCTTAAAGTCAACTATCCAGTTATTATAAAGCTCCAGTTCTTCTAAATAATCTTCTATTGATTCATTCAATATTTCCGCAGTTTTGTTTTGTTTTCTAGAATCTTCTTTCTCTTCAGTACCCGAATTCCTAGGTGCCATTCCTCTGTTTATATCTGTCACGTAATTCACAATTAAATTATTTTGTTTACTCCTTGACGCATATTTCATTTGTATAACAACAACAGATCTGCAATACAGGGTCAAGTGCAATTTCCCAAAAATTGCTTGCAAAGGGTGAAATTTCATCAGTTCTTTGCCGTTTTTCTTCTTTTTCATCCAAAGCCTTAACATTTTTACCTTTGTCTCCTAAGAGACTAGATTTTATTTTGTGTATTCTTTTTTTTTACTTAGTACGA